AAAAAAAAACAAAGGAAAAAAAAAGGTTTAAATACAAATACTTTATTGTACATAAATAAATTACAATGTTGCCAAACACCAGTCGATCACATCTTCTAAAGCCAAAAGCTGTTGTTCTTTAGCAACCGTCTTGAAAATTCTAATCTTTCTTTCCAATTCTGATCTGCTTTGAGTAAGAGCATATTCACTTCCACATTTGCTGCATTGTCTTGCGAGATTTTCAGCTTTTACACTATGACATCGATTGCATGATAAATCTTGTAGTTGATATGATGCTAACCACTTTTGTACTTGAATAATCATTCGTTCCTCGATCAAATGCTTGTCATATTCCGATTTACATCCCTTGCACTTCCACGCTCGAACCTTTCCGCCCTGAGGCATTAGCTCTGGATCTCGGCAGAAATCTAAATCGGTTGTATAATTACAATAGGTACAAATAACCTCTGTCAACTTGTAAAATTCGCTTGGACGCGTAAACTGTACTTGTAGAGCAAAGTCACTGATACTCGAAACAGCAGACAATGCATCACGCTTAAGCAGCAGGACTGGTTCTTCAATTCTGTTGTCCAAAGACAAGACGCCAGTGATAAGTTTAATGAACTCGAGTGCAGGATTATTGCTGTCAGTGGGATGATTGGCAGCAAATTTGGAGATCCATCGCACGATCTTTCGTGACAGATCGCCTTCAACATACCTCTGCAGGTTCTTTGCTCTATCATCATTGGCAGGTTCATCTGTTTCTTCTTCCTGTATCGTAATCTCTCGAGGGAACTGAGCTTTAGAACGTGTGAGCATATAGATATACAGCGAGGTGTAATGGCCAAACTTTTCTCTTGCTCCGTTCGGTAGATGTTCTTCGATATTCCATTGCTTTGTGATAGCGGGCACATCATCCATGTAATTGCCGACCAAGACGCCTGCAAAATTACGTTCGTCCATCCAAAGAAGTACATCCCAAAATGCTTGTTTTTTCAGCTCAAGTATCTCAAAGACCTGTTTTCCTTCAATTGTCCTGTGCAAATATTCAAAAAAGGCAGCCGCACTTTCTTCGGTTTCCTTTGTCGTCGTCAGCAGGATGCGATGAAAGTTTGCAAAAACGATTTTGGCACCTAAGCGCTTTAGTTCGGCAATGAGTTGCATAAACACCTTCTTCATCAAACTGTGTACTAGACCATAAAGGGAGGGATCATGCATACAAGAATTTGGACTTAGGAGCCATCGATGAAGGGAGTCAACCATATGTTCAGCAATACCGCTTCCATTAGATACATATGTATTGAACCAGATTTGCACTATAGCACGAAGCATGGAGAACGTTTTACTGGAAATCATACCTTCACCAAAGCTGGAGGAAGTGATGATTGCACCATTTGCATAGTCATCTAATGTATGCGACACATTATCAAAACTGGTATGCCCCGCAGTACCTTCCAGTTCGTTGATAGAAGGGGCAATCATGAGTGTATTCAAACATAGCTTAGACAGATCAAGATCCACACATACTGTCTCATACGTTCCTGGAAAGTTGAGTTCGGGATTGATCACTTCGCTCGTGATTGATATATTTTCGTCTTCTTCACGACCACCCAAATCAGGCATTTTAGCAGTGGACCACCAGATGATCATATCGCTTTGTATCAAAGTTCTTGCAAACATAATATCGGCCATGAATGTATAAGGATCTTCGGGTATGTTACAAAACGGTACATTGGCGTAGCGTGCTTGACAAAGTCTTTCGTTTACCCATGTACCAAGTTCCATGTAATATTTGAATACACGCTTCAGCATCGGTTGAAGCCAGTTCAATGGGTCAAACTTGCTGTCTTGTTGGAGTGCTGGAATTCTCACGTATGGAAACTCTGTAATTAAGCGTGCATGCTGAATAAGATGAGCAGATGATCTTGGTGAATTGATCGCTATAACCGTCTTTCCCTTCTTTGCATTTTGATAATTCGATAAAGCTTTGTTGATTGCGTTTAGTGCATGTTTTTCGCTTGAATGATAACTCGTTTCGAATTCCATGGTCTCAGGTACAATAATAGTATCATCGATAACTCCCTTTTCGAGCATAGCTTCGTACCTTTCTCTATATATACGGGCCACGTTTGGCATTTGATGATTGTTCTTGTTCAAACCAACCACGAAGATCTGAGAAACAGCCAGTGTGGAACCAATGAGCGCAAAAAAGTGACGACTGTCTGAATGACCATGGAAGAGATACAGAAAGTGGAACGCTTTAGGATCACTCATGTAACTCTTTGTAAGGTCTGTTCTCTCTTTTAGTTCAAGTAGATTGAATTGATCATCCATTCGACGACTGGCGGTACCACTTGTTTTGTTATACTGACATATCGAGCCCAGCTGTAAGACTGCACGGACGATCAGTGGCACCTGTGTTTCATATACAGCATCAGTAGAAGGATGATTAAATATATTGGAGAACTTGTTCACTTCAGCCTGATATATATTTTCAGGCATTGTCACTTGAAAAAGATTCAAGCTTGGATGCGATCTAGGCAATGTACGAGAACTTTTGACCAATTCACATGCAGGATTCTGCTCTTTAACAACCTCGGGATTACCCTCTTTGCAGTTCAAATAGAATGTACGTGGAATAGTCAACCGGATATTGTACAGCTGGCCTTGCACCATCACCCACATTTTAAATTCACCAGGTATGTCTGTTTCTGCGATCTGAATGATCTCCCATAAGCTTGTAACGAGCGAACCTGTCTGTCTTCTAAAATAGCCACCGACACCATCCTTGGTTTGTTTTGTTGAAAGAGCACTGCCTAAATGCTCTCTGCGGTACGCTCGAATCATTCTCTGTCGCTTCCATTTTCTTTTCTGGAATTCAAGCCATGCAGGATAATCCTCCTCCCAGTTGGGCATGTTTTCAGGACGGTCTTCTTCTGGCAATGGCGCGTTTATATCAAATCCATCACTTTCGTCATTTTGGCGTTTGCGTTTCCTTGTCACCTTGGCTATTTTAGGAAGAAGGCCGTTGGCTTCAGTATGAGAGACATTCAATTCTTCAATGTCATCAACCTCCATATTGTCCTCTAATAATGGCTTATCGGTGCGGCTGAATATATCCGTGATCTTGTGCTGTCTGTACTTGTCGTTTCTTGCCGCAACACGCTTGAACAGCCAGTCGGGATGACGAACACGAGGAACAGGATTATGAACCTTTTGCATTGCCGCAGGAATAGTAATTAACTTTTGGATAACAGAGCCGAAACGGTCAAGGTAATAATCCCAGTCGAGAACGTCACGGATCTCAAAAGAGTCCAGCGAGTTGTCACCGAGCCATTTACGGAGGTAATGTTTTTTGACGCTTTCTTCGGATTGAAAGATGGCAACAGGAACAGCACGTTCAGAGACTGGTAATCCATAAGGACGAGCAGAAATAATAAAATTACAAGCCAAACCCTTGTCTTTTACCATCTGATCGCCTAAAAATTCTGCGAGACGCTTAGCTGTACTGATTGATGTAGACTTTTGACCGTCATACTGCGCAAGTGTCTTGGACATGTTTCTATTTTCCGCAATAAGCTCAAACAGTTCCTCATCCGTGATATCAGCCGCCTTGCTGTAGAGTACATCTAGCCATCTGTTGGCAACCTTTGCAACTGCAGCATAACACTCTTCAAGTGTATTTCCTTCTAAGAACACTTTGAAAATCTCTGTTTGAAAGATTTTGATAAGCTTCAATTCACCACGACGCTTTACTTCAAATCCTTTAAGTTCAGCAAGTGATCCATCCATGTTAAACACAGCATATCGTTTCTTCAAAAGCTTGTCTTCTTCGGTAGATGAAGGTAAAACCATAGCTCGATAAGGTCCATCAATTTCAAAAAAGATACTGTTTTCTTCACTCACAGAATATTCATATGTCTTTGGGTTAACCAGATGTTGATACTGTTTGTTGGTAAACTGTGCATGCACCAAATGATTCAACATAGTACATGGATAGTAAATACGAATGGATTTACCGTTTTTTAAAGTAAACGAAAACGTTTCAGGAAATGTCTTTGGTAGAATACACCAAATACCATCTGTATCGAGTTCCAATGGTCTACCGATGCGTTCAACAAGCTGACGAGCCATTTGGATGATATTTGAACCAGTTAAACAGACAATACCAGCCATTTCTAATGAATGCCAACGAGCAGCAGGCCTCATCACATAACCATAAAAGGAGTTTAAGATACACTTGTGAGCCAACTGAAGCGAATCATATAATACAATCATATTCTTTGCCTCTCCAATCTTGGCTGCAGATCCATCTTTGACAGCTTCATCCAGCTTTCCTTTCCAAGTTTTATGTAATCCCTTATATTCATAACGACGATCACGAAATGCACGAACAGTCTCTATATAGAACGGGTTTTCACGTTGACAAATGATGGATTCTCTTTCAATCGTCTTTGTCTCCTTGACTCTACTGTAAACCTTTCTAGAGTAATCCTTCAGACGGGCTCGCAACAATGTGGATTTTTCGGTATCACTAAGGGCATGCCATGGACGTGGTGGCTGATCTGGATATTTAGCAGGGAAGGTCTCTTGAGAAAGTTGGTTTTCGATCATTTTATATTCATTGCGCTTTGCTGGTGTAAATTCACCACGCCAGAGCCACTTCATTCGACGGTCGCAGTTCTTGTCTGGTTTGTTAAAATCACAGGTTGCACACATGGATTCGTCAATCATAGCATCAGGTTGAAGACGGTTAGTCAAGATGATATTGGGATACATGGCAGCAACATCCAAGTGATAGATCAAAGGCGCTTCCTGACGAATAGGTCGGGCTTTAAGGTCCTCAAGCTTGTCAATGATGGCTTGTTTTACTTCATGATAGTTTGTAATGTCTTCGAGTCTTTTCTTTTCTTCAACTGTAATGGTGAATTTTAAAGCGTCGTCCAATTGATCTATTAGCTATAGAAATGTAATGAATAAAGTGCACACATATCGAACTGTTAAGTATCTACCTCTTGTGCTGCAGATGGATCAACCTTAAAATCAGCGTTTATATCACTTCGAAACACGCCTGCCTCTAGGGCTTCGACATGACCGCCGACATAAGTCTCACTTTCTAACAGATGCCCATCATAGAATGAGATTGGATCGTCCACATGCTTATTGGGTATGATAACATTAGCTCTGTATGCTTCAACCTAGAACAAAGTTATTAAAGCATATCAATAAGACATAATACACTATCTTACCATGAGTAACTGCTCACAAAGGGTTCCTGTGCCTTTTCTTAGCACTTCATCAGGTATTAATGGAATGATATTACATAGTGAGAAAATGAAGGGGTGCACATATTTCATGTAGAGGTAGTAAGTTGCGACAGCATCTGATACTGAATATTGAGCCAACACTTGAGGCTGCTCACTAGCAAATCGAGTCATATCTTCTGGGTCTAATTCAAGTGGATTATAACCCAACTTGATGGTCGTCACTGCCTTTAAACCTTGACTTCCGTTGGGCAAATAAGAGTCACGTTGTACCCATCTGAATGCGTCCATATGAGATGCATGTTTACATTTATACTCGTCTTCGTCGTCCTTATAAACTCCAATTTCATGATACATATTTATTCCATGTGCCTTGGCTCTTCCTTCTACAAATGGCCAATCGAAAAAGTCACCGTTATATGTTACGAAGATTGTTGGTTTAGCTTCTTGTATGTGTTCGAAAAATCGTCTCAAGACTGCTTCTTCATTTGCTTCGTTGAAGATGGTGAATGGTCCTTCGAATTCAGGCTTTGGTGTATATTCAAAATCCTCAATATCTTGGCTGACAATTTCTCTGTTTGTGATCAAATAACCCTAGTAGATCATATAAGTTAGTTCTTTGGGGTGATATAAATTCATCTCCTTACTCTTCCGTCAATCATGTAAGAGATCATCATGATTTGATCGATATTGACATCAGGAAACTTAAGGGGAAGCTTTGTTGTTTCAATATCGAATGCTAGAATAATGGGTTCTGGACGATGAACTAAATCTGTACGTCGTGTGAGACTAATTGTACCATCTTCTTGAGCTTTTACATCGTACCAAAGACCGACACGAATGTCTACTCAAATGTTACCATCATTTTAATACGAATTGTGTATAATACCTACCAAGGTCTATGGCTGTACGAATGTGAAAGGGGATATCATATTCACGAATATCAATAACGTTTTCTAAAACTTCATCTGGACTTCTTCTAGAAGAGATTGCTGCTGAATAAATATCGTCATATCTGATCTTGTTTGAAGCACTTTATAGATATTAGTCAACTTGTTTAACTTTTCTTTCTTGCTCATACTTTATCATTTCTGCATAAGTATCAACTGCATCTAATTTGGCTTTATTTTTCTGAACGGCTGGCAGTAACACTTTACGTACATTCAGCAGATCCTTTATATTACGAAAACTAAGTTGTATAAAGGTACGGGTATGACCAACTAAATGATTTGGCTATCGAATGTGTCAATAAGATAGTAAATACAATGCCAATGACACACATACTTGTTTTAAATCTTCCTTCTTTACTCTTTTAAGCTTTTCTATCAGTCCTTCAAACCTCCTATGTAAATAATCTTCCACTTCACCTTCTGTTCCGGGCTAAAAGCAGAGTATTTTAGCAAATCTACATATATATATATACAACGTACCTTGCAGCCAATATAAAAGTATGGACTATACACTCTAGTCGCCTTGAATGTTTCCCCATTGTCATTAATAAAGTAAAATTCAACAGCTGATCTCCCACTTGGCCATTCAGAATCAGGAACTGCTGTCTGTTTAAAAAATATCAATACATATTATATAACAACCTCATCACTTGCTTACTGTATGCATATTCAAAAGCCAGCCTAAACGTTCAGGTCCTTCTTGATATCGTTCGAATCCGAATCTATATTCGATATCTTCCTGTATGCGAGCATCCTCAAAGCGTTGGTCGATATTTGAGGGTGCAGTTGTGCTCTTTGAAGGGAGTCCATATTTGTTAAATGAAGTTGAAGCAAAGTTTTTTTTGAATCCCTTTTGACCATTGAATCGTGATGAACTTAAGCCAAATTCAGGTCTACTGGGCATGCTATGTTATTAATTAGAATGTAGGAAATGAAAATGAAGGGGGACAGAAAAAGAAGGAGAGTGAGAGAGTCAGGTCCACGAAGAAACGCGAAAAAACAGTTATTTTTCTGAATCCGAAACAGTCCTAGACGCGTCCCTATTGAATGCTGTTTGTCAAAACAAAGCCAGTCAAAAATCTTCGAGCGCGATGGCGGTGTCGTTTTCAAATACCGCAGGTACAGCAGTAAATGTGAGAGGAATGACAATTTGTCTGTTATCAGTTGGTATTCTAAATTCAGACAAAATAATAAAAGATATTCAGATAAAAACTGGTAAAGATACTAAGCTATGCTAGTTTCTCTGTCAAGCCATGTATCCCAATAAGCTTCAGAGTGTCTAATACAGTTAAGGCAGTCTTCTGTTAGATTGAAACGATAGTATACTGTAAGTAATAAAATTATACGTAGGTTTACATATTAACTTCTATTTAATTTTTAAAATATAACAAGAATCTTAACATGCCGCTTGTAAAGAAGCTTGTATACGGTTACGCCTTGGATGAAGTTTTAAAAAACGCTACAATATCAGATATGCCAGAGAATTTCATTACACAATATGATCTCAATAGTGCACCAAACCTGCAAACATTTTTAAACGATGTGATTCAACTAGTGAGGAATAGAATGCCTCATTTTCCGCTTTCAAGAGAAGTAACCAAAAATCCGTTCACTGTTTTAGCCATGATGAATCATATTCACCAGTTTTATGAACAGGCGAATATACAATTACAACAGCATGTACAGCCACAACAACTACCAGAACACCTAGCGCAACCCATACAGATAGAACAACCACTGGAACAACTACCAGCTCAAGCAGTGCAGCTAGTCTGTCCACAGGAACAAACATGGTGGTCACAACAGCCTCGCCTATTTTCTCTTTTATCAAATCTTAAAAAGCTTGTTATAGCCTTTTAAACAGGCTTGATAAGTTAGTTGTGGGATGGAGATGGACTAATCATTACTCTTCCTTCAGGCTCTACATCGTCTACCCTGCGCTCAGAAGATTTTGTAGTAGAGATAACTGATACATTGCAAGCAGTGGAAGGAGCAGCAGGGCCGTCAGAAGCTGGATCGTTTGTAAGAAGCTCCTTTCCAGCACCACTTGTGGAACTAAGACCAGAAACGTCTTCGCCCCTACCCGTAGAACCAGAAGAGATTGATGCCAGTTACTCCATAGGTTGACTAGTGGGCTGATTCCTATGAACAGCAGAATGGGAACGTTCAGAAACAAATTGTATAATGTCTTTTTCCTTCAAGACAGAAAGCACCTCCTATGTAACTACATACAATATATTTACTCCTTCTGTGGCAATTATTTGTGTGCTAAGCAGATACATCTTACAAGATCAACAAATCATGTATTGTGAACAAAAATTGAGAAATGTATGGAATAACTTAAAGCACAATTTATTTATATATACATGATTTTATTTAAAGAAATCTATTTGCAGCTGTTTGAAGAATACTATTCTTTTGAGGGATATAACACATAAGAGCAAGCTCCCAGCGTTCTATTAGATGGCTTTGTGGTTCGTATATAGCGCGAAGGGCATTTGGATTTCTGTGTATATGTTTAACAACTTGGTCCCAGTCCTTTGCACTACAACGCTCATCAAAGCGCATCAATGCTGCATTAAGAGTATCAACAAGGATATAATCAAAATGTCTAAATGGTGGGTAAATTATACAGCGCCTCACTTCATTGAATTGTTGTGGGTATCTGAGCCACATGAGCATACTATATGCAAAGCAATCAATCCTATCGTTGTATGCACGTCGATGCTTGATGTATCGTTTACCAGCATTCACCACAGGGGTCGCCACAGCAGTAAAGATAACAGAGAGTACCATGCATCGGGAGATGCTATAGAAAAGCATACAACTTATCATCGATAAATAATACCTAAAAAGAAAAGTAGCAGAGGTAGCTCCAATCATAAGAATACTGTACTTGCTACATTATTGATAAGTCTCTTACAAATAGAGTCATTGCTAAAGACTTACTTTTCCCAGACATAGACCGTAGGATGACCAGATAGTTTTTTCAAGACTAAATTGGGTATACCATAAACTTCAGTCGTAGTTAACTCATCCTACATTAAATGTTATATTCAGAAACACTTGCTATATCATAAATTGTAAACTCATATTGTTAATATATTTCCTTATCTCATCCAAGAAATCATTCAGATAAAAGGTAGCAATGTTTTGTGGTAGCACTTGATGTTTGGGTTTCTTTTTTGTTCATTATATATCACATTTCCTTGTGCAGTACTCAAAGATTGTTCCATATGCTTCATAACCTTATTGATTCGCTTTATCATATCAGCGGTGCGTACATATTTATCAGATATGGACAATAGTCAACCAAGCTTGTATACCGGGCGCTGACGTACGTAAATTGGCTCACAAGTTAGCTTACCATTGATACAGATACCATTTTCAGGGCATGGAATACATGTTGAAGAAAGATATAAATAGCACAAGGGATGGTCTATAAGAAAAGAAAGTAGGCTAGTAAGAGTGTAATAAAGGGAAGAGGATGATAGTTACATTCTTGTGCTTTGTAAATTCTACAATAGCCATACTTGTATCTGAAGAGAGAGGTTGCCATTAAGAAAAAGGCAAGAGAAAGAGCGAGAGCTGCAAATAAGAATCTGAATGACAAGAAGTAATCGGCTGTGTTAGAAAGGAGATACACTATTTTTACAAATTGTTGGTCGTGCCTACAACAATTCTCTTTGATTCCACTCCGTCAGTCAATGCGGTATGGTTATCCGTAAGTGAAAAAATTGAATTGGCAATAGATGTACTGGCTGATTGTTGAGCTCTTAGTTTATAATAATATCTTTCGAAAGCGTTGGCCTTCCTGCTCCAGTTGGCATGCTGTTTAACTGCTTGAATTGAATGAGACTTCTCGACTGCCTTGGTACTTGAGGCTGTTCTGATTGAATGAGCTTTGCATTTATTGATATCAATTCCTGCCTTGTTCATTATTGACTTTATCCAATTTGAAACTGCTGACGGTCGTACCAATGAAGTTTCTTGTTACTGTTGTCCAAATACGTGAGGAATAACGTGTGATCCTTTGGAAGTAATCGTCGAATCGATGCTGTTTTTTGAATGAAAAAGTATAGTGTTATTGTGGGGCATAAATCCTTATCTTCAACCAATCCAAGTTGTGTCGATTTCATATTCCTTTCTTTAGCTTCAGGAAAGTGTATAATCACTGGTATAGCTTGTCCTTCTTCAGCCTTGAAATAGATGTTCTGAAATTGCAGTCTGCCAATATCCGACCTTGGTCTTGCCATAGTAGCTAAGCATTAAAGTGAGCGTGTCTTCCATTATAAGTCTGTTAAAGTGAGAATAGTGTTGTCTGTCTAAGTGTTCTTGATAAAATTTGTGCGTATGTTAGTGTCCCAGATAATCATATCAGCTTCTTTTGGAATCTTGATTTCTCGGTGTCTTTTTGCTTGAAAGGATTGTGCAATCTTTTCTTGTTGTGCTAAAAGTGATTGTGTTGGGTGAAGAACTTTGAATACGGAGGCGATAGCTGAGCGAATACCATTGAGGTGTTGTACTGAGTATTGTCGGTTATCCATGAGAAATTTGAAGACGAGGTCAACGTTGTATTCTTGCGGATCAGCTGTTGGCTGTTGCTGTCTACACCAATCTTCCCATTTTCGCCATCCATTGCTGTATACTCTGTTGGTATTCTGACGTGTGTCGCATGCTAAAAATTCTATTTCATCTTCTTCCATACCTTTGTTCTTTCTTTTCTTCTTGATAATTTCCATGCGACCATTTTCCATTGTTGAAGTTGGAATAACATCGGTTTTGCTAGCTGTTTCATTCTCAATAACATTGGAAACCAATGCTGTGTTGTCCACAACAATGTTATCATCACTGCTGACTTTATTTTCTGTCGCTTCATCTGTTGTATTACTTGAGGCATAAATTGCCAAGATGGGAACAGGTACATTCCCGTTGTTTTCCACTGCTAACTGAAGGCGCCAAGAGCTGTAGCTGCCGGGTCTGGATGTAGACTTCAAAATTGAGGTAGTTGATGATTCGCACGTGGTGCAAAGGCGTTAATCTTTAGAGACCCCTACATCTGGTTGATCGTGTTGAATATTCTCTTTGGCAGTTGTATTTCGTATAGTGGATCCTGGATTGTTGTTTGACTGAGTTGATTGGCTTGGATGTTGTCTATTCCTGGAATATGCTGACGTTCTGCCTTGAGATCGAATTTGTTGCATAAATCTTGCACTTGTACTGCCAGTTGCTATAGTTTTGGTGAGGATGTGCCGCCTGACTTGGTTACGAATTTTAATGCGGTAATACTGTCGGTAAAAAGTTTTATCGTGTTATTTTTGTATTTTCGCGCATGAAGTTGAGGTGCGAATAGAATTACTGATAATTCCCTGACATTGATAGATTGGGTTTTTTCTTCTTCGGCCCAACATCCTATTGTTTCGAGCTCTGATGATGTTAGTCCCTGGGTGATATCCGAAGCATCTAGTGGATCGTAATTGCTGGTTTCGGACTGTCTACTTTCTGTATCGGTAACCCATGCTTGTCTGTAACAGAGCTCATCCACCATTGTAACTCGGCTCTGCTATTGTTCAAGTGTCTGAATAGTGCTTCCCATTTCTGGCGATATATTTGCAAACTGTGAGCTGGGTCCCGCTGCAGAAACCTGATGTGTAATAACGCTTCCCCAATTGCTGGAATCATGCATGTCATCTTTCCCATAAGGCTCGCATACCATATGTAAGAGCGAGTTGGCTGTTGAACAGCTTGCTTGATTCGATTGATCAATTTGTTTATTTTCTTGACAGGTACTGTAATCTTCATATTGGTTGAATTGAATGAAAACCCCAGAAATTCCTGTTTGTGTAATGGAGTTAGTATGTTTTTCTCTCGATTTAACATAAATCCTAAGGATGCCAAATGGGTAATTACTCTGGTACAGGCTTTGTGCATTTCCGCCTTGGTCTGAGCTAACAGGCAGATATCGTCTAGATAATAGATTAAGCGAATTCCTTCCTTCCATAATTGTTCCACCACAAATATCTTTGAAAATACTCGTGGGCTGGCACTCATCCCAAAAGCTAGAGTTCCGTATTGATAGACAATTCCTTGATTCATGAATATTAGGTATTTTCGTAATTGAGGATGAAGTTCTACGGCAACATACGCATCCTTCAAATCCAAATTTGCATATAAAATCGTTCTTCTCCATTATTTCGCGTAATGCTGGAATTCCTTCCATTTTGAAATGCTGATACTGAATATAAGTGCTGATTGTGGGTTGCGTCTACCACAGCTGCCGTTGCCTCCACTCTAACCTTGGATGTGGTTATAAGCTTACTAGCTACGCTTTATTCTCAGTAATATAAAAATAAAAATTCTTGGTTCAAATCTGTTATATTTTCAAGCGGATAAATTTCATCATCCACTTACATATCGATCATAAAAACCTCATTTCCTTGGTTACCTAACATATTTTCTTTCCCGTCTTCGTGAATAAGAATCCATACTGAATTGTATATAAAAGTGAGAAAGAAAGGAACCTGATACTGCACGAATTTTTTTTCATAATTTACACGAAATTATTTTCTTTCAATTGCAGAGCCTGAATCAATTTTTATTTTTAAACTGCACGAATTTTTTTCCTGGAGGTAAAAATACAAGTGTTAAAAATTGCCATGATCATTTTTTTAACTGTAAGTTTCTTCGGATAATCCTGTCTTTGCTCATATAGCTGATGGAGGCTTTCAGATGACAGGGAGTTGCCTGACTGCAAACGAGCCAATTCGTTTGCACCAATTCCCTCTCTCAATTCATCGTCGTCTCTGTCAGACTCATAGTCAGACTCATCACCAGGGCTATGATCGGAATCGGATTCATCGTCTTCATTGCTGTTATCATTCTATATGAAATTATTTGTTAGTATTTGTATAAAAGAGTGTATGTTTGCTTTAAACTTACAATAGGATTTTGATTATCCATGACAGCGTAGTACGCGTCTACTATCTCATCACGCCTACTGAGGATGTTGCTCTTGAAGAGACGGTACAGCTCAACTCGTCTCATCAATGGGCCAAATGGGACATCGTGATTCATGAGAATGTCCTCTAGATCAGTTTTCTTGAGGCGGCGCAAGTCTTGGCTTGGGCCTAATGACAATGTAAGTCAACTGTACAAATCTGTAGAGTCTTTTTATAAAGACCTTGTTTTGTTAACTTACGTAGGTAATAAAATTCCTCCGGAATAATTCGATGGTTCATGAAAAGAAGATGAGAAAAAAAAGAGAGGTACGTCGTAAAAACAAGCTTATCATCTAATTCACTGTGATAACTTCGAATTGATTCATTGGACGAACTGTTGGTAGGTTCCGTAAGCGCACATGATACCCCCTATTTTACTAAACAAACGAATGCATCTTATTTTTGCTTACACCACAGATCAAAGATAATTCGAAAAAGCGGATGTGATAAATGAACAAGAAAACCATAACTCGTAGCTTTGTGTTTAGAAAGAGGAGAAAGCAAGACCCCTTGGGGGTACAAAAGACGTATCTGACTTGCAGGAACTAAGCTGAGATGTTTTGATATTTTTGCTGTAGGCTTGAAACTTTTTGTCCTTTTAGTGAACAGTATAAACAAATAAAAATACCCTTGTAAGGTCCTTAGACGTTCTTAAAGCATTAAGCAAGACAAAATCAAAGTGAGTTGGAAAAAAGGAACAATAGGAGTACGCTTGATCTAAGCTGGACTACTTTGATCTGCTTCGTTTTTAAGTTCCGCTTTAAAGGGGCGTCAAACATCTTTACTATCGTCACATGTCATCATTTGCTCTCTCACACACTTTACTTTAAATGATATAAAAGTAGATGTTATCTCTTCATTTACAAATGCAGTTAATCGATAAATCTACGGGATGATGCTTGGGTGCTTACCTATGGATAGACTTACCTGAGTTTTAACCAACAGATCAGCCCATTTATGCATGTTGATAGCGCGTAAAGATATCAAAAGGTAGATCATCAACTTAAACATCAACAATAATGTCACTCTGTACACGTGCTCCCTTATCATAACCATAACAACTCAAGTCTATGGATTTTACTTTAGCATTCAGTCAAAAGAAAAGGCTTGAGCGGCATTAGAAAAAACCACTAAGCCCTGTCTGCACTGCAATTGTTTCATAAATATATATGCA